AAGAGCACAATGATAATACCAACATGGGCCAGTGAAGCAACGTCTTCCACAACTAGACTGAAGAACAAAAGGACAGCAACTTGTCTGTTCCTCTTCCCTGATTCCCCAATTCTGTTCCCCTCCCTCAATTCCCCAATAAAAAAATCTTAAAAATAAATAAATAAATAAAGCTCTTATTATAGAAATTTGCCAACCTGACTTATCAAAGCAGAAGAAAAAAAACAGAAAAAACAAACAAAGCTTGTGTGGTAAACAGGTTGTGTTTATTCTTCTCTAAAGTATCTAAAAAGTAGAATATATTGTATATTGTAAGACTTTGTTAAAAATAATTTTTTACACAATTTTGGTAAGTTAGTGGCAAATACAGTTTATAAGTAAAAGATATAATTTTCAAACTAAAATCAGTTTGTGTTCTTTATGGAATTTATGGAAGCAAGTTAAGATTCAGTTTCAATATCTGAAGCAGTTTCTACATTAAAGCATTTCCAAGAAATAGAAAACTGAGAAGCTTAGATAAAGCACCAGCTATCACCATGTCACGAAGTTAACACTGATTCCTCACTGCTCCCATCACATGATGGAGAACGGGAGGAGAAAAGAGCCCTGAATTTATACTTGCTTAGGGCATCCCCCAAAGGCATCTTGGTCAGGATAATATATTTCTGAGGAGCAGAAAGAGTTAGATTACAATAGTTAAGGCTCAAGATCATGCATTCATGATAAAATATAATTACTGATATTTAAGTGGCATAGAATGTCACATAAGCTTGTCATTTAAGTCAACAGTATACATATTATCTTTTTGAATCCTTTAGGAATTTGTAGGCACATTGAAATCCATTTTATACAAAAGAAATACATTTTATAATCTCAAACTACATGGATGTGCCTGTACCTTTATGAAAACATTGAAAAACAACTTTGTGCCTATCTTACAAAAATAATTTCAATAGTGAACATTAATGTTTAGGATTTTAAAGTTTTTCAAACATAAAACATTTTACCGAGTAATTATGTATGTAATGAGATAAAACAACAAAATTTGGAAAGATAAAAGTAAGTGAAAACTAACTTGTATATATTAATGTTATAAAACCCCACCAACAACAAACTTATACTTTGATCTGCTAACTCAATCCTCACAGTTTCAGTGATCATTTTCTTTCTCTAAGTTGTAAAGAACTACGAAGTACAGCGATAAGGACTTCAATGTGCCCACAGTTTCCCAACTAAAGATCAAGACACTGAAAATCCCTAGACACAATGGTAGCTCTTGACTCTTCTAAGTCATATTATGGTATGCATTTGCCAGATCTTATATACTCAGTGTTACAATATAGATAAATGATAAAGATAACATGAGTTTTATGATAAGACTTGAGTCTACTAACATATTGTCTATTATGTCATTTTAGTAAATGTACACTTAAAAATGTAAATGAGAAAAAATGAGGAAAATGTAGGTCATAACTGTGTTCCCTTTATTCTTCTTGTTCTATGAATCCATTCTGTTGAAGAGCTGGAACTTAGGTGGAACGAGCCAGAAATGAGAAACCAGGAATCCAAGAACAGTGAAACTACATTAATTTTCTGTACCAAAAATAAAACAAAAACAAACTAAAACAAAAAGTGGGCTCCAACCAATCTTTTTCAATAGTGGTTTGATTCAGCCCAAGGGGCTCTGTGATTGATCTCCAAGGCACTTTCTAAGAACGGCCCTTCCTCTTCCTTCAATTGACATCTGTCTAGGCAAAGTGATGATTTAATGAACCATGGCATTGTACTATTTTTTAAACACCATCCTACATTAAGAAAGTGAGGACTTGAATCCCGTCAAGTTAAAGTAGACATAAAATACACAAGGAAGACCTTTTTCCTACTAAACTTTAGAACTACCACCCCATCCTCCAGAAGAAGCACATTCCACATAAACCATACAGAGAAAACAAGCACTGGACCATCAAACAGCAATTTTAACCCACTGTAACTCACTGCAGTGATTTAAAGGGCTGTCTTGGTTGCACTGACTATATAGGAGTAAAAAGTGAATTTGACAAGGAGTCATGTGAAAACAAGCAAGAGTTATAAACAAGTAATTATTAAGTGAAATCTTTACTTTCTCTAATCTTTGCTTTTATTCCTGATTTAGACTTATAACATTTGAAGGATATGTGAAGAAGGTGGTAAGGTGGTAAATGAGATTAGACCTGGCTTTTAATAGTTGACTTTTCCTCAGCTTTATCAAAAGGGGCAGCTTCATTGGTAGCTTGAACTTCCACGTCATCATCAATCATATGAATATCTGATGTATTTTTGTCATTTTGCCTCAAACGGTAACTTTTGTAAGCACGCTGAATGATGGTTGCTGAGACTGCCTCTTGTTTTCGTTTCAGAGTAGTTGTAATTGGCTCATATGTGATCTTAAAAGGGTTGGCTAACATAAACGCTGACTCTATCTCTGAAAGAACTTTCTCCATCTTCACATCTTTACCCATAACTCGCTTTGTAAAAGCAAGTAAGATGTCAAGGCAATGAATTCTATCCCCAACAGCCATGGGCAGATCCATGGCGACGAGCTGGCCCTTGTTTGGTTTTGCCATGAGAAGAGGAGGATCCAGGGCAGCTGCAAAATCTGAAAGTTTGCTGGAGTCTATATACTGGGTCCTATCAGGATCAAACCTCTTCCATACCTGAAAGAATTTCTGAAAATCACCTTCACTCAAAGTCTTCACAGTTTTTTTAGAAGCAATATTCAAAAACTCCATAATAAAAACAATGTACATGTTTACAATGATCAGCCACGATATGAGGATGAAACTGACAAAATAAATAATCCCAACAATGGGGTTACCACAGTCTCCTCTAACCTGAGTCCCAGGGTTAATTTTATCAGGATCACAGTCAGACCATTTACTTTTGAAAATTGCATTGAGCATCCCATCCCAACCAGAAAAGATTGTAACTTGGAAAAGACAGAGTATACTGCTACCAAAGGTTTCAAAGTTGGACACATCGTTAATTCCAGCTTCCTTTTTGACATAGGCAAAATTGTACATTCCAAAGATGGCGTAGATGAACATGACGAGGAAGATGAGAAGACTGATGTTCAACAATGCTGGGAGGGACAGCATCAAAGGAAGCAGCAGATCATGGAAGACTTTTGGTCCTTTCCCAGGACGCAAGATGTGGATGGTCCGAGACAGAAGTATCAGTTGTGAGAGGGAAGGAGGCACCAGGTAGTATCCTACCATAAAAGGCAGAAATAGCCCTGGGTGTGTGGAAAAATAAAGCAAGCAATAAAATTATTCACATTTGATTGTATTTAGAAGGATATACATTTTTTTACTTTCAATTTTTTCTATATGTTAGGATCATTTTACTAATCCTGCTCATATAATAATTAGCACATATTGAAAGTATAGCTTAGTCAAATATTAATTGTGGCAGTGCTCAGAGTATCTATCAAAATTTGGAAGAGAATTCTTTGTACCATCATCTTAAGAGTACTGTGGGTNAACCTTAAGTGCTAACGTATCAATAATGACCTTAAATGTAAATGGTCTAAATACACCAATAAAAAGTAGTTTAAAAAATGTGACCCAGTTATATACTGCTTACAAGAAACTCACTTCAAAGTCAATGACATATGTATATTGAAAGTAAAAGGTTGAAAAAAAGATTGCCCTCACACCAATGTTGGCAAGCATCATCCAATTCATTGAGGGCCTGAGAACAAAAACGTGGAGAAAGGGTTTGTTCTCGCTCTGCCTTTGAGCTGGGACATTCATCTTCTCCTGCCCTTAGACATTGTTACCTCTGTTTCTTGGGGCTTCATATTCAGATTCTGGTACTCTCTGCAACTTCCTAAGCCTTTGGCCTTGGACCCAGAGCTACATCATTGGTTTTTCTGATTATCAGGCCTTTGGATTTGGACTGAATTATACCACTGGCTTGCTGGTTCGCCAGCTTGCACGTGGCATATTGTGGCATTTCTCAGCTTCTATAACTGCATAAGCCAATTCCCATAATAACATATCTCCTCTTATGTAGTTTTGTTTCTCTGGAGAACCCTGATTAATACCTTTTTAAGAACAAGGACAATCTTACTTATCTCTAAATTGCTGTGCCTAATACCTAAAAAGGGTTCAGTCGATTTTTAGGAAAGGACATGCAGTACAGAGAATAGAAGGGTAGAATGGTGATGAAACTGTACATGAACGAACGGTTTGAAGAGTTACTTTCATGTGCTCCAGACTAGAATCCAGGAACTGGAGTGTTGTGCCGCCTGGATAGTTAATAGACTAACCAGCTGGAGATGAGAGAAAACCCTGTGAGCTAATGTGTGATTTTGAAGTCAATGGAGGTAAGAGTTTCACTTACAGATGAGGAGATGAGTACGTGTCTGACCCTGACAGTTTTAGATTACCTAACAAAAAGATGAATCTCTTCAACTGTGGAGTGAAGACTCAGTCAGTCATTCATGGGAGCTCTGATTGACTGAAAAGCTGAGAATGCGGACTTGGAATGTATAGAAAGGAACAGTTAAGGGGGAAAAGGGTTCAACAACCAAAGGGCAAAATGAAGCATGTCTGAGAAAGGATTCAGGGTGCCCAGAGTAAGTCAGCTCTGATTTTCTACCCAGTCTGTGCAATGGAAGTTTTATCCCATCTTTGATCCTCCTTTCTTCTTTATTGTCGAGCCTGAAGAACTAAAAGCTGGAACCTTAGGTCTCATCTCCACAATGTACTCTCCTTAAAAGTGTCTCTGTGTTGAATATAGTTACCTTCTTTTCTGATTGATAAAACCTTTCTTTTCCTTCAGTGGCCCAGTTTACTTGACCTTACACTTGACCTGTAATTTCCAATACAAAACCCATCATTCTTTCCTTATATGTATTACAATTTATACCAATGGCATCAAATTTACCATATATTATAATCAGCTGTATAGTTATGTTTTCCCCGGTAGTCAGTTCTTTAGTCTCAGGTATCTTTGTATGTATGTGTACCTAACCAGGCTCTGGGTTTACCTGTAGTATCTAGAGTTCAATAAATGTTGAATGAAAAACTTCTATAGTTTTATCCCTTGTGCCTTTCCTTTTTTTCCAGGGGTTGTCTCTACTTTTAAATTTTCTTCCACCAAGAGAGACATAGAGATAGAAAGAGATACTCCTTATCTCTGTAGAACAATTTAATTCTTCTTAACTGTCCTCTGTCTCTACCCAGGTCATTTATTACTAGACAGTTATTGTACAGAGTGGTTAAATATTAAGGCTCTGAAACTAGACCTGGTTTGGAGTTGTGGCTGGTCATTTACAAGTTCTGTGCCATATAAAAGCTCTTAAAACCCTCATATGCCTATTTTTTTTTCATCTATAAAATGAAAGTTACCACTGCTTCATGAGTTGTTGTGAATACTGAGCTCATGTGTGATAAATACTTAGCACAAGGCTAGGCATAACAGTCTGCTCAATAAATGGTAGCTATTTCCAATATCTTTGAAACTATTTTGAAGTGCATTATATTTATTAAAAGANTATTAAAACTAAAGCAATATAATTTTGGGAAAATTCATATTTTAAATTACTTATATTTCTGTTTGGATTTATAATAATCATCCCTATTTTGAGAGAAAACAGGTATCCATTTTTTAACAAGTGGGAAGAATTTAAGTACTATGATTTCTCAATGAATGGCAGTGTAAATGTACCATATAATACATAAACTATAAAAATAATACAGTTTAAACATAAATAAGTTTGTTATTGGATCCTACCTACACTGAATATGTGCTCTTATGTAATATTAATCAAATAGGCACACTAATGTTAAGTATATATAAATAAAAATGCAGGAAAACCAATGTGTGATTATGAAATAAAAGGTAAAATTAGGCTTTTTCTGCCATTTCTGTACATAATTGATCTCTATATATCCACATAATATGCTATTTGCGGTGGGAATACACACTTTTTTTTCTATTAGGTTAAGCACACACGATTTCCATTACAGGCCCACAAGGCTGAACACTGGCTGCGTTATGTGGTTTAACCTATTCGTTTCTCGTACATTGTTCAGAAGAAGTTTCGACATGGCAGTGAGGTAGAGACCATTGGTAAGAATTCACAATTTGTGATTTCTGGCTTTCAAAAAGTAAATTTATTTTAAAATGCAAACTTTATTTTATGCAGTAAAATACTTAGTTTGTAAAATGTTTCTATAATTTAAAAAAATTACTAACTGATCAAAGTTTCATTTTCTATACTGAAATAATTTCATTAATATATAATTATATAATTTCATACATATCCATGTGGGTTAGACTGATAATACTTTGAAACTATATTTTCTCTCAACTATTAGATTTTTTGCTTATCTTTATTAGTTTTCATATCTTATGAGCAATAAAGACCTAAAATCTTAATTAGCATAGCTAATATACCATTCTTCTGTATTTTTAAGTAGTGGAATATAAGGCTTTTGCATTAATATTGTTAAAAATACAAATGAGGAGATTACAAAACTTTTAATTTGTAGAAATTTAGCAATCCTAAATAAAAACTTACAGATTAATTTGAAAACTTTTCTCTTACCTTCATTCTTTCAAACTGAGATAGAACTCTGAGTGCCCGAAGGAATTTCATGGAAATAAGTGGTTTTAGTTCTTCCCGAGATTTGCCTATTAAGCTAAGACAAAACACCTAGATATATGAAAAAAAGAATAGGATTTAATTTTAACTTTCACCAAAACAATCTGCAAAATGAACTTTGTATTTATTACTAAAAAGATACACAATCAAAGCCTACCAAGAAATATGCAAGATATTTAATATATATTGCAATGTATCTTAACAATGATTACAGAAAATCATAAGAAAATAATTTTGTGTTAACATCACTTTAAAAACATAAAAATATTTTCTGGTAATAGGAATACATGTTGCAATAAGCAACATTTATATGTTTGACATTCTATAATTAAAGATTAATATTTATATCCATTGTTTTCCATTGCAAATTAGATTAATAATCAGTTTAATGATTATTTCAATATAGTAATATTGGGTTATTGGAAAAGTCATGAAATATTTTTTCTNATAGAAAGAGAGAGAGAGAGAGAGAGAGAGAGAGAGAGAGAGAGAGAGAGAGGCAGATAGATAAATGGTAAATAAATACATGCTGCCCAAGAGTCATAATTACTTGTAACTGCTATACATGTGCTTTCCTATGGGGAAACTAAGATAGGAATGGTTCATCTCCACAAATCTGCTACATGCTGGGTGACTGAATAGCCATTCCTCAAAGCACTAAGTAGAAACAAAACAGTAGTAACTTGAGTTGGACCAAAAATTGTGACCATCATATCTGATCAGTGATGGAAATAGATTTGGCCAGGACCTGCCATTTCCTCCATCACTTCTACCTTCATCTTCACTGCCTTCTCCAAAAGGAGCAGAAACTGTACTTCAGTTTTATCTCTCCAAATGAACTTACATCCCATAACGTGTATCTATTAACTAATAATTGCTAAGACAATTTATAACCAACTCTATTAACTAGCCACATTCTGTTCTTTATGTTTACCTACAATATGGATGAAGATATACTAGATTAAAAAATCATAAGCATACTTACTACTTGAAGCAGTGAAAGGAAACCATTGCCAACATTATCAAAGTTCAGTTTTTGATTCTCCCATGGCATGGATTCATTAAATACAAGACTTTCACATTGACTCTTATTACTGACTTCATAGATGGAAAACCTTCCTCCACTTGTTGGGTCAATGCATTCATAGAACGTGCCAGCAAATAAGTGTACTCCCATGATGCTAAAAGCCAGCCAGATCATAAGGCAGACCAGAAACACACTGAGAGCAGGTAAAGTTGTTTTTAGCAAAGCTCTCACAACCACCTGGCATATAAAAAACAAAAATGTAAATTTTAGGTAAGAAATGAGAAACTTTTGATTAAATTGGAAATACTAGTTAATGTAATGTTATATCGACATAACAAACATAAAAAAAAGCCATTTCTACAGATTTCATAGGCTACATGCCAGTATTTGAATAACCTAAATAACAAATTTCAATTTAAATATATACATTAAAAGTCCAGGTATTCTCAAAATGTTTGTACTAAAAAAAATCATGAAAAGACAACAGAGCTGATTACTATACATACTAAAATAAAGAATTATTTCACTGATTGAACACGTTTATCAACCTCCTATATTGTGACAGAAAAGGGCAAGACTACTGAACCCATGTGTATGTATGAGATTATCTATTATAGAAAGCATACAAAATGAAAGCAAAATAGACCCAGATCTAAGTCTTGGGGAGTCTAACTTTGAGGAAGAATAGCCTACAAAGGAGAAAGTAAAGGGTGGCAGGGGAAATAAAAGAAGACCAAGAAATTATATAGATCAATGAAGTCAAGGCAAAAGACTGTTTCCAGAAAAACTGACTGGGCACCTGGACCTTGCAAAATCACAAACCTCCTCACTGAACCACTCTGTCTCACTGGTGAGCCACTCCCGAGTGGGAAGTTAGGGAAATGAAATCAACACCTAAACTTGAATCAACAGCAATAGTCTGTAATCACTGTCCCAATTTCCTCAACTCCCTTCACCTTTTAATGTTAAAACCAGAATTTTATCTTTGTCATTTCCCTAACGCTGTTACGGCAAATGTAAACCAGTTGCTCTACCCAATAGAACATTTCTAATCTTCACTATTTCTTTATCTTTCATTTAGCATTTACACCTTTGACTCCCTCTCCCAATTTCACTTCTTTCTCTTTTTCTCTGAGGCACCACTGATCTCTTTTCCACCATTCTAACTTCTTCTCTCAGCCATTACTGGATACATATCCTTTTGCTTGTACTCTCTTGATTACATTCTGTAGTTTTCTGGCCTTGAATTAATATTTTGACTTTTAATTGTGTTTTCAACAACAATTTATTTTATTTCCAAATCTAAGTCACAGGCATTTTGTTGACACTGTAGATATTTTGAGAGGTCCACTGATGCCTCTGATGAAAAAATGCTGTGCCTATCAGAAAATACACATATATAAGACTAAAAGCCATGGTTGACACAAATATGTCACTAGTAAGTGCACCCAAGACCTGAAGTTTATTAAATACATAAAATATTAATTTTGTAATTATGTAGTTTCCTTATATACTCAGCAGTACAGCTTTAGAGAGCACTCAACTACACAACTTCCAGAGGTTGTGATGAAGATAAGATCTGGATCTGACTTTGACCTAAGCATGGCTACTATACTATACACCTGTCATTGAATTGGCCATGGCTGCTATCTCATTGCCATTCTAATTAATGTTTGCCATCAAATGGTACATACAGTGCTTAATTTCTGACAAATAGAGGCAGGCTTCCCTGGCAAATCTCTTCCTACGTTTCTCTAAATTGGAGGCACACAATTTGTTGATTCGGGCATTCTTTTCCCCCTTCCCCCCCTCCCACCAGTGATTCTGAATTTTTAGGGGGAAAAATACCTGGTATTATCCTATAATGTTTTTTACAGTAAAGAAGAATTTATTTTAGTTACATTCATCATAATGTGCGCATGCACGCACATTGTGTTTTCCAGCTTTACTGAAATATAATTGACAAATAAAAATTGTATATATTTAAGGTGTATAAANAAATGTGAATTAAATAAATGAGTCTTTGCTTAGAACAGAATTTTTTTCTGGTGGTGGTGGGTGAAAGAGGTAACTATGGAAGTGAGAGATAGAACTATAAAACAAGGTGAAATTATAATCACCATAAAAAGCATAAGGGATAGTCTCTGGAAGCACTGGAGAAGGGTGGTTCATTTTCAGTTGAGAAGGTCAGGGAGAAGAGAGTCATATGACGTTTCTAAATGAGAGACTATGTTTGCTGAGTCTGGAAAAATCACGTCTCACATTTCTGTTGAACTTGGTCACTGTCAATGATGACATTCTCTCCGACGTTCTATGTTATCTATACTCTCATCTTCATAGTGCTTTAGGAAAACTACTCTGGCTCAAATTTTCATTTCTCCACAATCTTCTAGACTCTTCTATTATGCAGGAGGTATCCCCATTTACTTACAAAAACATTTTTCCACATCCTCATCACTAAATTTTCTTTACCTCCTTTCTGATTGAAAATCTGACTCTATCTTGAGGACATCATTTCCCTCAACAACATTCAAGTGCAGACAGCACATTCTTCCTCACTACATATTTCTCAGGGTACGAAGATGGAATAAGCAAGCATCATTTTTATTTCCAATGTTATTTCCAGACACCTTTCCTTCCCATGATTTTTATGAAGGAAAAAAGAAAAGAAATTTTAGACACTTGTGGATCACGCCATTTAACTATACCATCTCCTACTGTTCCTTGGCTCTATAATTATTCATTTCTCCTCATTCATAAAGATTGGCATCTTTAATACGTGGCTCATGTCACTCTTTCCATACCAGCGCCTACCATCAACAGCCCATTCAAAGGCCAGTCTCTTCGTCTTTGGCTTTCTTAATTTTAATAACCTCCATTATTTTACTGTAGTTATGCACATTTATGGCCACATTCTGTACCCAGGCAGGATACCTGACTTTCTGAGATCTCTAATTCAAACAGCTTTCTCTCTAACTGCAATTTTCTTTCTGTTTAGATCTCTGATTCAGTAACTCGTGCTTTAGTCTTCTAGGGCCCTTTAATTCCATATCTTTCTGTTATCTTCCTAATGTCCTCCTCCTGTCTTTATGTATTATTCTGTGGAGCTTCTTGAACCTGTCCATCAGTAGTTAGCTTCACTGCTTCCACTACCAATTGAGTGAATAAATTTTCTGGAAGCACAACTAGGCAGATGGTTTATTTACATTTTTTTCTACTAACTACATAGTAGTTGACGTTAACCACTTAAATATTGTCCTTATTCTCACAGAACTTACATTCTGCCATGTGTCTTATGGGTGACATAATAAACAAACTTTTCTCTGCCTAAAACACTTTTATCCTAGATTATTTTTTGGCTACCTCCTTATCCAATAGGTATCTATCTAGATTTTTGTTTCTTACATGAAGTTTTCTCTGATCTCTACCTACTGATCAGGTGCTCCTCGCTTTCTGGTGCTGCTATAGCATCCTGTGCTTCTTCCCTTATCATAACCTTCATAGCACAACATTAAGATGCACTGTTTATTATCTGTATCCCTTAATAAATTATAAGCTATGGTATATAGGTGTTATGCCTACCTTGTTTACTACTGCATTCTATGCATATAGCATAATATCTATTCACAAAAAGGGTAATCAAATGTATTGGTTAAATAAAAGACTGAAATCTCCAGAGTAAGAGAAAACTAGTGACCAATTCATTACAGCCTTAAACTCTACTGTTGTGAAAGTTGTAAACAGTTTTAGAGATTAGAGGAAAGGGAAACTAGTTGAGCTTGAAAGGTTATATCACGCTAAGACATAAAGATCCTTCTAGTGTCATCCCAGAATAATAATGTAGGTGATACACTGAAGGGGTAATTAAGTTTATTTATCTGGTGATCTGTGAAGTAAAATATATGTATTAATTCAAAAAGTATTTTTAATATCTTATATGCCAGGCATGTGTACATGTATGAATACAAAAATGTAAAGCATTTCTGTTGGAAATAACAAAGGTCCCCACCTGTTTTGTTTACTAAGAGGCTATATCTCAGGAGACATTTTTATAAGAGCTTGCCTGAATTAACATTACTACAAAATAAAATCTTACCTGTAATAGAGAAAATGACTACCATAAAATCAAAAACGTTCCATCCAATGGTGAAGTAGTTACATTGAAAAGAGATGAGCTTCAATACACATTCTCCAGTGTAGAGCATAACAAAAAAAATGTTAATCCAGAAGAGGGCAATGTCCATTTTTAGACTTTGTTCATCACTTTGTATCATAATGGTTATTGCTTGGATATAGATAAGAACCATAATGATATTATTAAAAACTCGATTTGTTACTAAGTCAAAGATGAATCCTTGGAACTTGTTCTGTGGATAAAGAAAAAAGTGTAACAGTTTTATTAATAGGCTATAAACACACACAGTCTTTAGATTTACAACTTCATTCCCAGCATAAATAGAAGAATAAGCAAAGGCCTAAGTTTTTACCAAACTATAATTATAGCATATAGTCAAAACAAACAGAAACCACCAAAAGCTTTGTCAAGGAATATATTTTAAAAGTTCTGTCACAAGCATTTGTTGTTAAGAATTTTAAAAATACATGTTTATTTTTAAAAATGAATTTATAAAGGAAATATTTTTGGAAGCTTCAAAAAAAATTCTAGATGCTTTCTTACTCCTGGGCGAGGTATTGGTTTCTCAGAATCCTCATATATCAGCTTCTTTAGTGCACCATATTGTTTCTTCTGTTTTACTGTCATAAAGATATTTAAGCCTCCCTGGTAGAGAAATAAGAGAAAAATATGTTAAAATCACATTTAATCAAAATTTTACCTTATATTAATATGCATTTTGGAAAGCTTGGCAATGATTGATTTAATCCTTTAAAAAAGGGCTTAACTAGAATGAAATAAATCATGTTTAAACGTCTGACTTTCTGCACAAAAATCCATATAAAACATATATAGAATACACACTGGTAAGGATTGAGGTTCAGTTATTTTTGGTGCACTTTCCTGGGGGTAGTTAACCCTATTTTAACTTGTCAATCTACTGAGGCCTACCTCTTGTTAGATAGAGAAAACAAAGAACCAGTATGGACTATCTGGAAAGGTCTACTAAGAAAGGTTGAACTCAAAAGCTAAAGGTAAAGTTGGTTTGCACCTTTCAATAAGCATGAAAACATAGAATTGCTCATAAATGCGTTATTATATGTTCATATGCTTACTTCTTTATAGCCCTTCTAGAGTGTATTCATCTTTGTGTTTCTAGTGCTCAATTCAGTATCTTATACAAAATATGCAAAATAAATAAGAGGTGAAGATTTACTGGGAATTGTTACTGCCCTAAATCAGGACTTGATCACTTAAAGTTGACAGAAAACACCAATTTGAAGCTCAGGAGCCAATCCTAGGATGTTTTCCCATTGGGCTGAAGTCCCAAGAAGCGGAAGCATCCAATCAAATGCTTATTTGATCAGTGACCTCTCTAATCTCATTTAAAATTCAGTGCTTTGTTTACCAGATTTTGTACATGGCTCAACTTTGATGACATGGTTAAAGATGGAATTTCACAATTAAATTATTCTTTTCTTAGATTTTTTTAGAAGGTTTTCCTACACCTAATAGAAAGTAGGTCTCTACAGTTAAAATGAGCGGATTTATATGACTTTGAGGGCTTTGCAATTTGTAGAAGCCCCGAAGAGAGTCTTTGTGTGGAGATGGCACCAAACAAGGGCCATCAAGGTTCAATTCTGCCTCTAAATTCTCTCTTATTCATTTAGGCCACCCAATCAGGATTTATGTTTCCCTCTACTTCCAGCATAAAAAGCTACTCCAACTGACAAAGTGTTTATGCTGGTTATGACTCTGAAGGTTTTGAATATTTCAGCATAAAGAATTGTGGCTTATTTTTCTTAAACTTCATACATTTAAATGTGCAGATGCACAATATTATTTATTTTTCAGCATGTCATTATTTACAAACATACATACAAAAACATTTGTAATTTGCAATTTTTAACTCTTAAACTTGGCTGTATATATTTGAGTATAGAAAACAATGTACAGATGAACATTTAGCAATATGTATCAATATGCAGGAACACCAACCACTTTTTTAGGTAATTACCAAATAAAAATGATATCAAGGTGAGTCCAAAACCAATTATTTTAAGCAGGACATTTTTATAAATGTGTTTGATTTTTTGAGGCATTGATGAACAAGGAATATTTATACTTATCTTTATTTTATGCTTGTTGAAATTTGCAAGAATAACACCGATCAGCATGGCCAGAGGAAGAAATAATCCAATGATAATAAAGCCGATAAAGTAACAATACATGTAGACGTTGTGTTCAAAATTAGGCTGCTTTTCTACCTAAAAGTTAAGTTAAAAAATAAGCAAAAGAAGGCAGAGCATAGAGGATTTTTAAGGTAGTGAAATATTCTGTATGATATCATGAGGATGGATATATGTTATCATACATTTGTCCAAACCCATAGAATGTACTACATTGAATGAACTCTAAGGTAAACTATGAACTCTGGGTGATTATGATGTTGTCACAGTAGATACATTCTTGATAAAAAGAAAAAGAAAAAAAAAGGTACAATTCTGGTGCGTGATAATAATGGGGAGGTTATGCATATGTGGGGGTAGGTGTATATAGGAAATATCTGTACCTCCCTCTCAATTGTGTTGTAAACCTAAAACTGCTCTAAGAAATAAAGTCCTTAAAAATAAATACATAGGTGAAAAATATAAGCAAAATATTACTGACTTTTTAAAACATAAGCTTTATAAACAGTTATGACAAAATTCCAACAATGTTACTTGAGGTAATGTTCCCTCTTTGGTCTTTGGCAAAGGCTTT